CGCACCGGCATCTGTCATTATTGGAGTAACCAATAATGACACCCCGCACCAAACCAGATGAGCCAGATGATTGGTCAAGGGATAAACAGGCTGCTGCATACAAGCCACGCCCACCCAAAGAGGAAAAAACTAATTTCTATGTCTTCTTGAGCTGCAGAATGAAAAAAAATGGGAATGGTTCACACAAAACTGAAAATTCTGTCATCATTTACTATATTACTGTTTTTATTTACTATTTAATATTATCACTTTAAACTTGATTTCTTCAATGGAACACAAAAGATGTTAAGCAGAATGTCCATGTTGCTTTTTTCCAAAAACAATCTTATTCAAACTTCCAAATAGTCAAATTTGGTATGTGCTGTTTGGTTAAAAATTTGAAGCCTTTGACATATCAAGTTTGATTATGCATATATGCAAACGACATTTGAGACAGGACATATAATCAGTGGATGACTACACATATTTGGGTCTCCTACTCATGCAAAGCTTCAGAAGTCTTGGAATATAGCTCATAAATTTAACAATGCAAGACGTAGTTACCTTTTTTGGTGAGTATTTCTTTTGTTCGCACACATCTGTTCAGTAACACATCATTTTTGTGGTTATTTAAACGTCAAAATCTAAATTGTTTAGTATATATAGTTTTCAAAAGCCCCTGAACCTTCCGTTCTGACATCCTTTGGGGGCTTCAATCCTTAAAGACTCTGTAAGAAAACATTGCATTGTGTTGTGTAAAGAAAACGGTAACAATTGATTTGAAGGTTACAAAGTTACGTTACTTTTACCGTTCGGTTACACTTTACTTGAAGGGGTGTGCATAAGACTGACATGACACCTTCATAATCATGACATGACACCTTCATAATCATGACATGACACATGTCATGAATATGAAGGTTTTTTTTATGCATGTTTATGACAACTGTCATTAAGTGTCATTCGCTCAGTTATGTAATTTTTAATGCAAAGATGACATTGTTTGAGATGTCTTTGTTATGGGCTATGGTTGGGGTAAGGGTAGGGGTAGGGTTAGGTTAGGGTTAGGTCAAATAATGTAATATTTGCATTAAAAATGACATAACTGAGCGAATGACACTTAATGACAGTTGTCATAAACATGCATAAAACCTCCTTCATATTCATGACATGTGTCATGTCATGATTATGAAGATGTCATGCCAGTCTTATGCACACCCCTTCAAGTAAAGTGTTACCTTACGTTCTATAGTAATAAGTAAAAGTATGAGCAGCACAATTTCTCATGAAGCTCTGTGCTGGAGCTTGTATTGTTTTCAGAGAATCATGTGATCAACAAAAAACGAAGCCTTATTTCTTTCCAGTCATGTGAATGCTTTACTTTGCGTGTCGTAATGTTTGAATCCAGGCCACTGCTCTATGGGTTTAAGAAAGTTCAAGTCAGTTTATTAACATTTAAATATTACATTATTATTATTATGCCATATAAAAAGTATAAAAACCATAAAATAATTTAACCACCATTTACTTGCCACACTTTAATATGTATTATTTGATCAGAAAACTTAACATTTAGCATCGTCAAGCTTTTATTTGTGCTTAAAGGGTTAGTGCACACAAAAATAAAAATTCTGTCATTTATTACTCACCCTCATGTCATTCCAAACCTGTAAGACCTCCGTTCATCTTCGGAACACAAATTAAGATATTTTTGATGCATTCTGACAGCTCTCTGACCCTCCCATAGACATCAAGGGTACTACTACGATCAACGTCCAGAAACGTAGCAAGGAGATCAGTAAAATAATCCATGTGATATCAGGGGTTCAACCGTAATAATACGAAGCTACGAGAATACTTTTTGTGCGCAAAAAAAAACAAACGACTTTATTCAACAATTCGTCTCCTCCACGTCACCCTAGCGCCATTTTGGAGAGTATCCACTGAACGCATACAGTGTATGCTGTTCTGTGTCAGCCGCACCACACGGATATGTTTTCTATGTTGTTGGGCTACGTTGTTCTCTGTGTGGTGCGGCGGAAACAGAACAACATACGCTGTTTCAAACATCAATCACGTGGTATTGTCATTTCGATACAAGCATCGGCACAGTGTGTGATACAATAGTGCTTTGAAAACTGCGTCGGAGCATCGGAGCCTCGGTATCAATCGTCCCATCACTACATGTACCTAATTAATATTATTCAATACTAATTTGTGTAATCCCACTGTAACAGCATCACCATAAAATAAAGTGTAACCTAGAAAATACTTTTTGTGCGCAAAAAAAAACAAACGACTTTATTCAACAATTCGTCTCCTCCACGTCACCCTAGCGCCATTTTGGAGAGTATCCACTGAACGCATACAGTGTATGCTGTTCTGTGTCAGCCGCACCACACGGATATGTTTTCTATGTTGTTGGGCTACGTTGTTCTCCGTGTGGTGTGGCGGAAACAGAACAACATACGCTGTTTCAAACATCATCAATCACGTGGTATTGTCATTTCGATACAAGCATCGGCACAGTGTGTGATACAATAGTGCTTTGAAAACTGCGTCGGAGCATCGGAGCCTCGGTATCAATCGTCCCATCACTACATGTACCTAATTAATATTATTCAATACTAATTTGTGTAATCACACTGTAACAGCATCACCATAAAATAAAGTGTAACCTAGAAAATGTCCATAAACCTACTGGAAGAAAATTTATTATTATTATTAATCATTTTTAATGAATTTATTTCTTACAGTGTGTATTTCTTACAGTCCTTTTTTTGAGTTTGACAGTTTGACCGGTCACTATATACTTTCTTTGTATGGAAAAGGGCTCCTTGAAGATTCTTAAAAATATGAACTGGAAGCTTGGAACGTGAGTTTGAGTAAATTATGACAGAGTTTACATTTTTGGGTGAGCACATACACAACCTCACATTACAAACAAAACTAACCCCCATAAGCTGACACAAACCCATGAAAAGCACAACAGGAAACATCTTTCTCTCTCAAGCACACAGGGCACTGATATTACTCATGATGGATAGCTCAATAGTGCCCAGCACTGGGTAATGTGGCTGTGTTTTGATTGGGTGCAGAGTGGGCGCGTGATTAGCTTTTAGGATTTATGATTATGGCTTATCAAACAATACACACAGCGTGACTCTACTACACACATGTGGTATCATGGGTAATCAAACAGCATGGCTTGTCCATTGGGAAATACACACAGCATTGCGCACAAACGCTCCTAGCATGGGTCAACTGTATTTGAGTGAGGCACACAACACTCGCAATACTGGATCATATAACAAAATTAAGCAATTCTAAAACCTCTCCAATAAGCAAATGATTCACAATTGCACCAGTATCACAGAACACAATGTTAAGGGTGTATAAAGGACTTGTAATAGACTGACATATAGTATTTTTTCTCAAAATGTTTTGTCTGATTTGTCTGATTGGCCAATTAACAGATGATTCCCTTCTCTATAAAATCTCACAAGAGTTTTGCAGAACAACATGTATGTACACAATTACACTGTGCATGATTCATTTTTACATAGTAGCTAAAGACATGAAATATAAAGTGGAACCGTAATTGGTAACAGAATACAACCCTCCACACTTTGCTTATGCATTCCAGTTCACTCATCACATTGGAAATAGAAAGTGCAGCATATTGTGGGATACAGTATCTCATACAGAGTGCTCTGTTGTACAGGTCAACTGCACATTTTGCTGTGTGTATTAAGTCCTTTGGGAATTCTATGCATACTGGAAAACTAGCAAACTGAGAACAGTATTTATACTGCATACTGCAAAAATAGTATGAGTATATTGTAGTAAGATATTATCTTACAGCAAGCAGAGATGAGTATTCACTAAGGTCTTGTCTGCATGGCCCTATGCTTATGTTTAAAACTTTCCGTAATAAAAATTACTGCTATAAAACTATAGATATGACCAGGGCCATTTTAAAGATTGGCTTGGAGTGTTTTGCTGATATTTTTTGGGATAACATATCAAAAGAGTGCTAGCATGAGTGTGCATTGTGCCTAATACAGCAGAGCCATTATCCTCCATTCAGCGACAAGGGAAAGCTAAAGTCAACAATGAAAGTCATTTTACTTCTATATTTTCCAAATGCAACATTATATTCAATCAGAAATTGGTTGTATTTAGCAAGGGAAACAAAATTAACCTGAACTGTAATTTGCAAACCATTTTTCTTTTGTAATCTGACATATTTCTGAGTGAAATAGGTAACACCCAAAGTTAATTCTTGATTTTATCCTTTGGGAATGAATTGGATTGTGAAAAGTGGGCAAGAGAAAAGGGGAGTCATTTCAGAGACGGCAGGTTCTTAAATTTTGATAAAAGACTATGAAGACTATCATTTTTATATACTGTACATGTGGAATGGTAAAAAGGGTACATTTTAATTTATCATATACTTTAAGACCATTAAGCGATTTATGACAACTCTAAAACTAATTTTTTTTCATGAGGAGTAAGACATTACAATGCAGTCTCATGCTTAGGGGAGGCATATCTTTATCAAAGACTGGAGACAGAATTGCAGCACTTATACCAACTGCAACATTATTTCTATCTTGCTTAGTAATACCATGTTAAGATACCACTGCTTTAATTGCTGCTAGAGGTGTTAACTCTGGTGAATGAATGTTAACACATTATTTCTTATTTTATAGTGGTGCTTCCTGATGCTCACATCACTACTATTGTTAGTAAGGTTGTATCATAATGTACAATACTGAAATAAGATTGTCAAGTACTATACTGCATTAATTTGAATTAATAATAGAAATAATAGAGCAATACAGGGATAATGTAACATTATAGGCCAAGCCAGAGATTAACATCCTGGGTCTCTTGACAAAAAATCCAATTGCATTTATCCGTTGACTTTTTGATTCCTGCAGAAAATTAGCTCTGTGACCAACAAAAGTTTATAATTCTTACATATACTCTGCTTGTGAGTAATATTGTGTTCATACCTGATTCATTGTGTTTATCTTGTGAGGGGTCAATTATACAGATCACATATGGTTGTTGCTAGAAGAGAAAAAAGAGAAAGCATGTTATACATGTGTTTTTGGTTTTTATAGTTTCCATTCAGAAAGAAATATAATTATATCTTTTTAAATTCTTAGTTGTTTCTTTCAGGATTAAGTGGAGACCTTTGCTTGAGTCTTCTGACTCTCACATGTTTCTCCCGAGGAAAAAAAAAGATGCAAGTAATCTCATGCCTCCTGGCCGATAAGGAGAAGAAATGTTCTTTAAAATAATGCTTAAAATTTATTCTGTACTAAAAAGTGTAGATTAAAATAGTTCAACCTAATCTACCAATTAAATTTATACGCAAATGTGTTTTTATGTTAATTAGAATATTGAGTTATTAGCTTAGCAACATGTTAAATCAATTATCTTGTGAGGGGTCAATTCTACAGATCACATATGGTTGTTGCTAGAAGAGAAAAAAGAGAAAGCATGTTATACATGTGTTTTTGGTTTTTATAGTTTCCATTCAGAAAGAAATATAATTATATCTTTTTAAATTCTCAGTTGTTTCTTTCAGGATTAAGTGGAGACCTTTGCTTGAGTCTTCTGACTCTCACATGTTTCTCCCGAGGAAAAAAAAAGATGCAAGTAATCTCATGCCTCCTGGCCGATAAGGAGAAGAAATGTTCTTTAAAATAATGCTTAAAATTTATTCTGTACTAAAAAGTGTAGATTAAAATAGTTCAACCTAATCTACCAATTAAATTTATACGCAAATGTGTTTTTATGTTAATTAGAATATTGAGTTATTAGCTTAGCAACATGTTAAATCAAAATTCTATTTTCTGTGTGCTTTGCCTGACAAGCTATTTATATGTGTCACACCCCTGGACTCTTTGTGTTGTGTTTTCCCTCCCCAGGTGTGCTGTGTTCCCTTTAATTAGTCATTCCTTGCAGCTGTGTTTTCCCAATCACCCAGTGTTTAAAAGCCCCAGTCCTTTCAGTTAGTGTTTGTCGGTCCTCAAACGTCATTCCTTGTGTTCCAGTGTCTCCTACGTTCCCCGTGTGATCATTAAAGACTGTGAATTGGAGTTATCGCCGTGTTTCCTCGCTCCTTTCATCCCGAGAATTGTGACAGAAGGACCGACCAAAACAGTAACTTCCATGTTTTCCCCTCCGTTTGTTTTCCTTTTTTTTCTCAGTGTTTTTCTTTCCGTTATGTCCCCATGGATCCCTTCACTCGCCCCGAATTCCTCCTCCTCCTGCTGGAGCAGGGAGACAAAGCTCTCGAGGACCATACCAAACTGTTCCTGTTGGTCGCGAACATCGCCAGCTATCGGGACGACGCGCTCTTTCTATGATGCAAGCCTGAATGCCGAGTGCAGAGCGTTGTCGTCCGACGATGGTCCTCGGGTGGAATTCGCCGCCTTCGTAGAGTGGACTCTGGTGGGGAGGGCTCCTGATCCCCAGTTCAGCCCGGGGAGGGCTCCTGATCCCCAGTTCCGCGCAGGAAGGGCTTCAGCCCCCAAATCCAGCTCAGAGCGCCCTCCAGTGCCTGCTCCTAGAAAGCGCCCTCCAGTGGCCGCTCCTCGAAAATGCCCGCCCAGCTGGCAGCCCCTCTGCTCGCCCTCAGCCCACCATCATTGCTGTGCGAGCCCAGCGGGACTGACATCCTCCAGCATCACCGTGGTTGGAGTCTCCCTCACCTCTGCCTCCAGCCTCCTCGGCCCGGACTCCGCCTCGGCCCGTCGACCCAGTGGCTCCACCTCGGCTCCTAGTTCCCTCGCCTCCACCATCACCCATCGATTCATCAGCTCCCTCGTCCCTCCGGCTCCGCCTTGGTTGGGCGTCGACTCGCCATCACCTCTGGACTCCACTCCTCTGGCTGCGCCTCGTCGCTCTGTCCCACTAGCTCTGTTGGGCACCTTCATCCTGCCAGCTTCGCCTTGGTCCTCAGTCGCTCCGGCTCCGCCGCGGATCTCCGCCTACACCTTGGTCGCCAGAGCCCTCGGCTCCACCCTGGCCCCCCAGATCCTCGGCATCCCCCTGGCTTGTTGGCTCTCCGTCTCCGCCTCTGGCTCCTACACCCCCTGCTCAGTCACCATTGGTCGGCCCCCTGGAGTCGGTGGCCATTCCTCCTCCATGGCTTAGCTCTGTTGGGCACCTTCATCCTGCCAGCTTCGCCTTGGTCCTCAGTCGCTCCGGCTCCGCCGCGGATCTCCGCCTACACCTTGGTCGCCAGAGCCCTCGGCTCCACCCTGGCCCCCCAGATCCTCGGCATCCCCCTGGCTTGTTGGCTCTCCGTCTCCGCCTCTGGCTCCTACACCCCCTGCTCAGTCACCATTGGTCGGCCCCCTGGAGTCGGTGGCCATTCCTCCTCCATGGCTGTTATGGCTGTGGCCTGGGTCCTGCTGTGCTCTTCCTGCTCCGGGTCCCTCCTGTCTCCTCCCTGGACTCTGTCTGCCAGCCCCCTCCCGGCGTCCGTCCTCCTCCCTAGTTCCCACTCACTCCCCTCCCCATGTTGTTTCTACGGTGCGAAGACGCAACTTCCGGGAGGGGGGAGTGATGTCACGCCCCTGGACTCTTTGTGTTGTGTTTTCCCTCCCCAGGTGTGCCGTGTTCCCTTTAATTAATCAGGTGCAAGAAATGTGTTTTCCCAATCACCCAGTGTTTAAAAGCCCCAGTCCTTTCAGTTAGTGTTTGTCGGTCCTCAAACGTCATTCCTTGTGTCTCCTACGTTCCCCGTGTGATCATTAAAGACTGTGAATTGAAGTTATCTCAGTGTTTCCTCGTTCCTCGCTCCTTGTCTCCTGAGAATTGTGACAATATGTTACAGGAGGTTACTTCCTATTCGTTCACTCTAAAAAAATTCTGGGTTATTTTTATTTTTTTATCTAAATGCTGGGTTCAGCCTGTTGGCTCATTTTATTAGTTTTTTTTTTTTTTTTTACATTTTTACCCAGGTGCTGGGTAGTTTTTTTTTTTTTGGTTTTTCTGCACTCTAAAAATGCTGGGTTATTTTTTTTTTTTAACCCAAATGCTGGGTTCAGCTCGTTGGGTCAGCTTGCTTGGAACGCTAGCATTCACTGGATCTACACTCAAAGCGATCCTCCAGTCAAACGAATGTAAGACCAGGACTGAAACACAGTGACTTCGCTGTTATATGTAACAAAGTTTCTGTGCGCTCCACTTACTACAATAGGAGCGTTATTGATCTAGTGCGCTATTGTTGCAGCTGTGGTCATGCTATGCTTTTGATGGGTTGAAACTTAAAAGTTTGACAGACAAGATGGCACGAGGTAAAGCTGTTTTTGATGTAACTTTTCAAACATGAATACAACCAGCTGGAACAGCCTACTGATAGTAGTTTTCTTCCCACAGATTCCCATTGGCTGTTCTTGCTGTTTCTGTCATGTCCTAAAACCTTTATTAAATGTTTTTGAAAATTTTGTGATTGTAAAAGACTGTCTTAACATTGAATAAAAATAAAAAAACACCGTTTTATATGAACTGTTCTTGTCCTATATGGGCCATTCTATAGGATTGGTCCAAACTGCTGTCCCACAACCAAAAAACACATTTAAAAAGCATTAAGTATTAAAATCTTAGATGTTTACTAAGATCCTTCTATAACCAGCTGGAACAGCCTACTGATAGTAGTTTTCTTCCCACAGATTCCCATTGGCTGTTCTTGCTGTTTCTGTCATGTCCTAAAACCTTTATTAAATGTTTTTGAAAATTTTGTGATTGTAAAAGACTGTCTTAACATTGAATAAAAATAAAAAAACACCATTGTATATGAACTGTTCTTGTCCTATATGGGCCATTCTATAGGATTGGTCCAAACTGCTGTCCCACAACCAAAAAACACATTTAAAAAGCATTAAGTATTAAAATCTTAGATGTTTACTAAGATCCTTCTATTGAAACCCACAATAATATTTAAAATATTAGTAAGCTTAATATATATAAAATCATCATGTATTGGGTATCGGCTGTCCCGAACCCTAACCCCTAAATTTCAACTCATGAAAATTATATTGAAATAAATATATATATATTTTTTCCATTTTTGTTTTTAAAAATATATTTTTGATTATTTTAAAAAGTGAAGTTCAAAAAAATATTTATTTTATATTTTATTTGTAATCATGAAACTTTATGTAAAAAATAAGTGTCCCGCATTTTCATGTCACTACCGAAACAGTGTATGTTTTAGTCCGTTGGATGAGACTGAAGTTGACTACACCCCTACATTTATGATCAGGAAATATTTGTGTGTCCCTCTCTCTCATAGCTACAGGGTGAGTAGATAGACCCCATCATTTTGAGGTAAATGTGCTCAAAAGTCTGAAAAATCTGTGTAAGTCTAAGGAACGTCACTACCGAACACATTTTTTCTGCAATTAAGCACACTTTTTTTGAGAGTTTTTCCATATTTAATTTTTATGTGTGTACAACTGTTCAGAACTGTGTTAGCTAACCATGTGCTGATTAGCATCTTTGAGATAGGTTCAAAAGTATCTAAAATTGTCACTACCGAAATATTTGGTCGAGTTTCGGTAGTGACATCTTTGATTTTTGTGTGTTATCCCAGACAATTGTCACTACCGAAACATGTCATCATTGTTTCGATAGTGACAAAAGGGAACACATAATCCTCATGTTTGGGGGAAATAAACTAAATTTTAGTACAGTTATGCAAAGTTTTTGTATTTTAGTATGTTTTAGTAGTATTTTAGTATGCAAGTTAAATTCGGTAATGTAATGTGGTCGCTACCAACGCATTACTGTCACTACCGAAAATGTGCAGTCACTACCGAAACATGGGATGTTTTGTCAAAAATAAAGTATACTGAATTATCAACTAAGATGTTATTATAGTTTTTGGTTCAATATATATTCAAACTAATGAATCCTTTACTTTGAAATCAGTATGATCAGCTTTTTACCTTTTACAAAGAAATATTGGATTCAAAATACAACAAATCTCATAAATTACACTTGAAATATTGTTAAAAATAAAATTTTTATTGATCTAGCTCTGAAAAAAT